TACAAAATGAATAATAATAATAATAATAATTTACTTTAATATTAATAAATTGTTTGTTTGACTTTCCAGCAAATATACAAATATAAATGCAGTTTATACAAATAATAAAAAATGAATAATAATAATAATAATAATAATAATTTACATTAATATTAATAAATGGTTTGTTTGACTTTCCAGCAAATATACAAATATAAATTTAATTCATTCTGTCACCGATGGAGTTTTGGTTCCTTGCCGCTGTCGCCTCTGGCTTGCTTAGTTGAATTTCCAGCAAAAATAGTTATACTACTACTACTACTACTAATATTAATAATAATAATAATTTACTTTAATATTAATAAATTGTTTGTTTGACTTTCCAGCAAATATACAAATATAAATGCAGTTTATACAAATAATACAAAATGAATAATAATAATAATAATAATTTACATTAATATTAATAAATAGTTTGTTTGACTTTCCAGCAAATATACAAATATAAATGTAGGTTATACAAATAATAAAAAATGAATAATTATAATTATTAGTATTATTATTATTTACATTAATATTAATAAATAGTTTGTTTGACTTTCCAGCAAATATACAAATATAAATGTAGTTTATACAAATAATAAATAAAAAAATATTATAATTTTAATAAGAATTTTATTTGGTTGAATTTCCAGCAAATATACATGTAGTAAGTAATTTTCCAACAAATGTAAATGTGATTCATACAGCAAAATACTTGGTATTTTCTGGTTTGATTACTTTCTCCTTTTATTTGGATCTTGGTGGGCAGAAGACATGATGATTCATGTGTGATTCATATCAAATGAATGAATCAGTCAGACTTCAGTGCGAAAACTTCTCATAATGAAAGACTTGAGTTCAAATCTAAAGACTCAAAACAGTCAAAGTAATGTTATAAAGCAGATTCAGACGCTGTTGTAAATGATCTGATGTTTTTGTAGATGATCTGATCCATTAGCAGATGTTCTGGTTCAGTTTGTGTTTGATATTCAAACCATTTTATTAACCAGTGACTTTGCTGCTGACCTATGTAACACATTACTTTAGCATAAAAAGTAACTAAGTACCATAATTAGTTACTTTTTAGGGAGTAGCACAATTTTGTAATGCATTACTTTCAAAAGTAACTTTCCCCAACACTGCGCGATACAGTAATGAAGTCTTGAGTTATTATTTTAAAACGGAGAGTTCCGATACCTAGGGTTCAGTATTGGCCGATACCGATCAGATACCAGTGAAGTTTTTTTCCCTCATTTAAATAAATGTAGAATTTATATATCTCTGTGTGTGGAACTGATAATCATTCTTTCACAATCTAC